TGTGTGTGTGTGTGTGTGTGTGTGTGTGTGTGTGTGTGTGTGTGTGTTTAAGCCAGAGGTCAACATCAGATGTTTCCTCAATCACTCTCCACTTTCTGAGTCAGGGCCTCTTGCTGCACCCAGAGCAAGGTCCCGAAATTCCCCAGAGGGTCTGAGCCCTTAGTGCTGGGATCACACATGCACACCCCTACAGTCCTCATGCTTGTACAGCGAGTGCTTACAGACAGAGCTAACTCCTCAGCACCAGCTAAACTAGGCTCTCTGTGGTGGACCCAGACATCAGTGGCTTTTTAGAATTCAGTGGAAGTTTGATTCTGATGTGCAGCCAAGGCTTAGATCCTAGAGACTGCAGAAATGCATGACTGTAAATGCTGGGCTGATAATCATCTACAGTTTGCAGATAAAGAAACTGAAGACTGGTGCACTGAGTCTCACTAGGGTACTTGTGATGAAGCTGACTTTCAAGGCCCTCACCCAAATTCTGCTACACCTGTATTTGTGGTAAAGACGAGGAATCAGCCTTGTAGGTCACACCCCAGGGCAACCTGGCTCACACTTATGGTTTGGGTCTATCTGAACACACAGGGCAGAGTGACACATTAATTAGCTAGAGGGCTATTATGAAAGAGAAAGGCTTGTGTACAAGGGGTTTTTAACATTAAAAAGTATTTGTGTGTGCGTGCGCGCGCACAGACTACATGTGAAAGTCAGGGGACAACTTTGGGGAGTCAGTTCTCTGTTTCCACCTTGCTGAGGCTGGTCTCTTATTTCTCCCCACTGTAGACTCCAGGCAAGCTGGCCCTCAGGTCTCTGGGCAGCTCTCCTGTCTCTACCTCCCTTCTCATGGTAAAACGCTGGGGTTACAAATATGTACGATTACATTCAGCCTTTTCACTTGGGTTTTGGGGATCAAATTTGAATCACTAGGCTTGAGTGACTAGTGTTTTACTCACCGAGCCATCTTCCTGCCTCTTACAGCTACACTGCTTGTTTATTATTATTATTATTATTATTATTATTATTATTATTATTATTATTATTATTTGTGTGTGTGTATGCACGTGTTGCACAGGCATGTGTGTGGAGGTCAAAGGACATCTTTTGACCCATCAGTTCTCTCCTTTGGCCATGGAACCCAAGGCTTGAACTCAGGTTGTGATGCTGGAGTAGCAGACACTTTTAACTGGGGAACCATCTCACCAGTGGCACTGTGTTGTTTTCGGAGCTCATTTATTGAAGAAAAACATCTTCTGTATATACATATTTTAAGTGTCTATTTCTATGTGAGGCATCTATACACACATACCAGACCCTGTAACAGATGCTAGATCAATAGTAAACCCCATTAGAATACTACTTAAAGGGTGCCTGTCTTTATCTCATTGACTGGCACTGGAATTTAGAAATATAAATGTTGACAAAGTAAGGGGTCAGAGGCCCTACTCTCTTTCATCACTTATCACCATTCAATGCTTGTTAGGAAGAGTCACTGAACCTCTGTGCCCTAGTTTCCTCAGTGGGTTTTCAACTTGCAAGAGGATGAGAGTGTTAACTTACAGAAAAGTACCCGGGAATCTTGGCTGACGTGCTTAATATAGTTACCTACCAAGAGTCTTTCCTGCGCAAAGGACTAACACACAAGAGAACTTACAAAGGTAAAAGTGGCTTTTTGCTGCACACTGAAACTTGCAAATAACGCCCCCCATCCTGAGCCCAGCTGAAGCAGCCACAGAAACAGGTGGTTCTGGGACCATCCTGCATCTGCCCCATCTACACAGGGACTTCTAAGAAGCAACCAGCTATCTAACTTATGCTTGAATGCCAATGACTTTGCTTAAAGGAGAGTGGGGGAAATGTATCCAAATTATAACACATCAATGATGTCACTTTACTCACAGACCTGGCTCTCTTGGACCGGGTGCTTTTTACTTCTACTTTGTTCCGGAACCTCAATCTGCTAAATAGGTAAGGAAAATGTCAGCCCAGCCCAGAAAAGCCAACACACAATAATCCATTAACTGACATGTCTCCCCTCCACAATCATGCTCCTACTGATCATTCAGCTGCTGGTCAGCGGGCACACCTGCCTGGCATCTGCACATTCCCCTCACATTTGTACATCTGTCTCACAATTCTACACCTGCCTCACATCTTCACATCCACCTTACATTCGTACACCCGCCTGACATCTGCACACCTGCCTGACATCTGCACACCCGCCTCACCTCTGCACACTTGCCTCACCTCTGCACACCTGCCTCACCTCTGCACACCCGCCTCACCTCTGCACACCTGCCTCACCTCTGCACACCTGCCTCACCTCTCCAAACCTGCCTCACCTCTGCACACCTGCCTGACATCTGCACACCTGCCTCACCTCTGCACACCCGCCTGACATCTGCACACCTGCCTCACCTCTGCACACCTGCCTCACCTCTGCACAC